CTGTTAGTTTAGTTTTTTTTCGTTTCTATCCACTTCTCCGCTCAAGATCTTAAAAAAAATAACCCTAACAATAGACATAAATATATAATGGAATAAGAAGCTTGCCTGATAATGCCATCATGACATGGGTAAGTATAGTGCGTTATAGAGAATACGTACCTTTCAGTTCAATCGGTGCCAATAGCGTCGTGTCTACTTGTACTCAATGGCTAAGATTGTTATAGGCTCACCGAGTATGTTTGACAACGTCATATAAGGATTACGCCAGAACAGTCCATAGGATGATAATTCTGATGTCATTTTCTTAATCATTCAAGCAGGTATAATCTAAGTCGCTGCAGGTTTGGCTAGAGGTAGCCACTGGTCTCAGCATACCCAGATCACTAGTTTGTGCCAATTATAGGCTACTATAAATTTCATGCCAGGGCCATTTTTCAACTCGATTTCGTTCGTGATGAATGTAATGTATTTTGAACTCCAAACTACAAGTTGGGAGATAAAATCCCTCTTACCGAAAGGTAAATACGGATGGTTAGCGAGCTTGCAAGACTTTCCATTATTGAAAACATGTAAGACAACATATAAAACACGTTTTCACCGTATAAGCTTATTATATAGATATAGTCAAGCCAAGGGTGCTCAACATCTTGAGTGTTCTGTGAACGTTGTCCTCACATTGTCTCAGTCACGCTGAAGAATACTTTTAAACCACTTGTCTGTTTACAGACGGTAAAGTGAAACAGCATCCGCAAAAATTAGCATAGGTCGCATTACACTGTTGTTACGTCATGGATATCTTAACCTGCCACGGCTGAAAAGGAATATCCAAATCGCGCAGTAGCAGAAGGGTTGACGCTTGACTAGAGAAGAACTAGACATCAAAAATCGGTCTTTGCTCCATTCTTTATACTTAAAACTTTGGGTGGGATAAGCATTTAGGATTGAAAAAAAAACATGAATGTGAAAGAACTTTTTATGTTGAGAGTTAATGAGGTGAACTGTAGCGAGATAAGCTATGTGGAGTGTGGGAAATGTTTTGTCTTTGTAAAGTCTGGAACAAAAGTGAGTGCTTCCGTTTTGGTTATTTTTTGCAGTTGTTCCTTCCTTTGTTTTGAAAAAAGTTCAGCTAAAACACTATCGCAAAGATTCAGATATCTTGAAACTATGCGCTAACTTTCTGAACATATAAATGGAAGACCGTTAAACTATGTA